GTTTTGACTGGGACGCATCTGCGGTGTATAATAAAGCCAAAATTAGTGGCATAAAATGGAGTCTGTTTATTTGTTTTCTCGTTCGGATTGATCTTGTTATACCATCTAATTGAGCTGTTCGAAATCGGTTTAGAAGAATTCACCGGCAGCACGTTCCCAGGAACGGAAGATCATAAGCTTACAAATAAGACAGCGAAAAAGTTGAGGGGCAAAAGTCTTTGCTTCTGTTTGGATGAGTAAATGGTGGATATCCTTTGACCTTGTCCTTTGCCAGCTCAGCAGAGATAAAGAGAGCATGAAATACAGGAAGGGGGAGGGGTGGAAAAACAGACTTGGCATGAAAGAGTGAAGATACAGGACACAGTAATGGAGGAGAGAAAGCTGGACCGGGAAAAGGAAGGAACAATTGATTTTCAGTCAAATATAATGCAAACGACTTGTGCTTCTCACAGTTGCCACGAACTGAAAGGGAATTCTTGATTGCAGGATGGGAAACATTGAACAAGAGTGGATCTGGTGGATAGAGGGGGGAAAATCTGTGCTGGCCCAAATTGGATAATGATCTTTCGGGTTAGTTAGGCTTCTGCGGCCAAAATAACACAAAGGCCTTGTCTGTTTGTCAGTGCTGACGAGAGGAAGATGACAAATATTTAAAAAGTTGTGCTCTCGACCCCCTCCGTGCAGTGTACAACCAGCAGATGTATCTAAATGTTAATGGTTAATATCTGTTACGCTAAACTAGTAATGAAGCTGTCTCAATCCATCCAGCCATGTAAGAAGACAAACAACTTTTTTTTTTCAATTGAGTGTAGCCTGGGAACATTTCTGGAGAGGTGAATGGAATGCCACTTGGGTACTATTACTTTCCCTGACGGAATGTGCAAGTAAACAACCAGGCCATTAAGGCTTATTTAGCATCCCTTTCATATGCAATCACAGATATCGTGAGAGAATGCACCCAGTCAGCACAATCTGCCGAGACTTCGCTCGTAACTCTGGTCATTCATGACATACAATTGGCAGGCTTTCCAACTCCTAAGCAAAAGCAAAGAAAATACGAAGTGCAAATGTACGTACTGAAATAGAAACCTCTGTCTTCACACACAAACTGTAGCGCGTCCACCAGCTCTCCGCCGCATAACGTTTCAGCTGAAGCCACTTCGAAGGCAGACAGGGTTAAAAACAGTATGCATATGGGCATTCGTAAGGACCAGTACATCTTTATGACCTGCGGAGATAACGTGTTTTAGTTAGTTTAGACAGTTTTAACATGTGCATTTCATTTTTAATGTATAAAGCTGCTGTTTTTCTTTTTTTTATGAAGATCCCATGTATACCTGAACTTAATACTAAACGTTTTCCTTCCTCAAGGCATTGAATTCAGTAATGCAGTCCTTCAGTGTGTGCATGCATGGCCATTGATTTTTCAATTATCTGCCTGATCACATGGTCAAAATCAGTATGTCAGTGTACAGTATGGAAAAGCGTGTCTTCATGACCTGGAAAGCATGCATTATAGTTCACAACAGGCATTTTGTCAAAGTAGGCTATAAAATTCATTATTTGTGCATGCATGTTTCTTTTCTTTTTTTAACAAGAGCTGTGTACCTGCTGATTAATAATACTGAACATTTTCAACTTAAATTGCAGTGTTGCTGGTCAGATCTTGAGGAACTGTCATTTGTTTCTTCAATGCACTGATTTCTCTTATGCAGTTCTTAACACATTCTGAGAATTTATATGCATGCATGACCTCCAGCTTTTTCAATTATGCATGTAATAACCGTAATTTAACCGTAAAGATGATGCTTTAAGGTCGACCGTGGGTATCTGTCATTAGTTCCTCCAGTGCATTCAATTCGCCAATGCAATTCTTCAAATACACTGGAATTCTACTTGCATGCATCGAGTTTTTGATTATCTGCTTAACGCTAGATGATGAATTGTTATCCAAGAGCTTGTATCTCCTCCTTTACACTCTTACACAACGTTCAACAAGTTGCAAGACTGCTCAAAATACCCAGCTATCTCATTCCTCACATCTCAGCATATAATTTCCTTAAATCCAGCTCATTTAAACTGCTGTCGCCCCCTTGCGCAACTTCTTTCTCCTGCGCGCGTATCCAGAATAAAATCCGTTTTTATTTGGAAAGCGCTATTCAAAATACACACTGTTTCAAAGCAGCTTTGCAGAAATGCATAGGGCTAATGTTTACAATGCCTCATAGTCCTTATTTAGAAGTTCAGCGCTGTCAAACTGTAGAGCTGTTATCAATTCAGAGTGACAAAAACATCTCCAATGCATTGCGCGCACCGCTAGTGCAAGAGAAAATGCGTCTAAAAATCTTACCTTTTCCGATCATGCCCATTTCTGATTTTTAAAATACGATTCTATTTTTGCAAGTCTTTAAAAATGATTTCTATTTAATAGAGCTTTACTATTGCACTCATCTCAGATATGTCCAAGATTCCGTAAAGGTTGTTAAAAGACTTTCTTTACCTTATTTATGACACTGTCTGTTCTCAAGCAGGTATGGCAAAAAGAATGTTTTAGTTGGTCCTCCATGTCAACATAAAAAAAAAAATGCTGTGCTGTTGTATTTGGTTAAGAAGGTCGGTTTAGTTTCCCCAGTTGGTGTTAAGATGGTGTGTGGAGCTGTCCCAAAAATCAGGCGACAGGCAAAAAGTTCTCTGCGAGAAGTATTATATACCCAAGCCCGCCCCTTAACACCCCCTCCACCCCCCCGCCCCTCAGGCGCGCATGTCCGTGAGAGGTAAAACTCGAAGCGGTCAGTCAATCTCCAGCAGTCCGGGCCGAGATCCCTGCTGCTGTTTTCCAAGAATTCCAGACCACAAAAAGCTCAATGAACATTCGAGAATATGGCATAGCACCTTATTAAAATGTCCAACATTTTCTGTGCGTTCCCGACGTCAAGCAAGTAGTTATCCCCCAAATGATTTGAACAACGTATCTAACCCAAATCATAAATAAAGACATGTGCAATTAAAACAGTAAATAAACAGGAAAATAAGTACTACTGTAAAACAAAACGAATGGAAATAAATAAATGAAAAGTTCAATATTTCAGAAATGCACATGTCATCAATATCAGTGTATTATCAGTTTGTGTAGGCTAACTACCAGAGTTCCTGACAGGACAGTCGATGTGTAAAATTTTACAATGGAAAGTGCCCCGCCATTTCCTCTGATATCCACCTGCCTTATCGACCCTCACGCGAATAGTGGCAGTAATGATGGTAATTCACTTTAGAGGCTGCCCCGTTCAGAGCACTGAGAGGATAATGAAGAATTAGCTGGACTTGAATTGAACTTAAATTGCTTTGATTGAATTACTTGGAAATGTCATCCATCACCTGGCAAAGCAATAAGGGCCATTATTTGATGCAGATGTTATTCTTCATGGACAGTAGTCTCCATCTGATATGAAATGCAGGGCCAAAATGTCTACTACTGCCTTACTAGAACACCTCTTAAAATGGTTTTAAATCAGCATTATCATGTGATCAATAAATGCATGCATATACATATATATATATATATATATATATATATATAGGCTACACACACACACACACACATATATAGTAATATGTATATAGTAAATTAAATTGTTCATCGTTTTGAATGCCATTGCATTAAGATTTCATAGTAGCACTTCATCTAGTGGTATTTCATAAATAACTTTTGGCTTCAATAGCTTTAATAACTTGAGTTACACTGGGTAAGATCTATCTAAAAAAAATTAATGTCATATTGACACAGTTTCTGTTTATTCACAGAGTGATCCATTAATCCAGCGATAGCGATAGTTCATCTAAAAATGAAAATGTTGAGTAGAAAATAAAAGAAGATATTTTGAAGAATGTTGGTAACCAAAAAGTTTCAGTTTCCATTGAATTCCACTGACTTTATTTATTTATTTATTTATCCATATGGTAAAAATCAATGAGAATAAAAACTGTTTGGTTACCAACATTTAAAATATTTTCTTGGTAGATATTTTGAAGAACGTTGGTAACTAAACCGTTCGGTTTTCATTGACTTCCATTATATTTTTTTCGTCCATAAAATGTAAGTCACTACAAGTCATGAACCGGAATTGTTTGGTTACCAACATTTAAAAGATTTCATTAACTACTGTTTTTAAGATATGATTTAAATTTTTATTAAAATATGTGCTTGGATTTCCAATGAATATTCGATGAAAACTCATTTTAGGACTAGAAATCTTAAACAAAATTCAATCTTTTTTCGTCCATAAAATGTAAGTCAATACACGTGAACCAGAATTGTTTGGTTACCAACATTTAAAATATCTACCAAGAAACTATTTTGAAGAACGTTGGCAACTAAACAGTTTTAGCTTCCATTGACTTTAAAGGAACACTCCACTATTTTTGAAAATAGGCTAATTTTCCAACTCCCCTAGAGTTAAACAGTTGAGTTTTACAGTTTTCGAATCCATTCAGCCGATCTCCGGGTCTGGCGGTAGCACTTTTAGCTGTAGCTTAGCATAGATCATTGAATCTGATTAGACCGTTAGCATCTCGCTAAAAAATGACCAAAGAGTTTCTATATTTTTCCTATTTAAAACTTGACTCTTCTGTAGTTACATCGTGTACTAAGACCGACGGAAAATGAAAAGTAGCGATTTTCTAGGCCGATATGGCTAGGAACTATACTCTCATTCCGGCGTAATAATCAATTTTGGTGAAAGTTAGCCTATTTTCAGGCGCAACGTAATATCATTGCGCCTGCTGCACACATGGTACAACAGCAAAGTTCTTGATTATTACGCCGGATTGAGAGTATAGTTCCTAGCCATATCGGCCTAGACGTAATATCATTGCGCCTGCTGCACACATGGTACAACAGCAAAGTTCTTGATTATTACGCCGGAATGAGAGTATAGTTCCTAGCCATATCGGCCTAGAAAATCACAACTTTTCATTTTCAGGTTACTGGAATTAACTACCGACTTGAGGTTTTGAGGTTGGTATTCAGCGTTTTAAAAGCAACAACGTCTGTAGCAGCAGATGTAGACATAAACGCACAGCATAACGATGAGACTGTCACATATGAAGCAGAGAGGAACAGGACAACTGATTGGCTCCTCGCGACAGAATCAAGCCAACACATTCAGGGCATCCGTGAGAATCTTCAGTTCATCTTTAATGGTCTCCAGCCCCTGCTGGATCTTCAGTGGGTTATCCAGCACTTCTATGCTGTCTGTGTAAGGGTCAAACCGCACAGAAAATGGTCTCTTGATGTGGGTCACATATGCTCTGTTTTAAAAGCAAATGAGTAAAATTATTGTCATACAAACAACTGTAACTATTTCACTTCAAACATTTAAGACAATAAATAAAAATGCATAAATCCAGATTTTTTTAATCTTTGCGAAATACGTTTAGAAAGTTTTAATAAAATAATAAGTAAAATAAGTTTATGTAGTTATGTAAGAAGACGAAGACGAAGAAGCCACATTGCAAGACAATTTAAAATTCATATAAAATATAAAAATTTCCCTATATATCCATAAATATTTTAACCAAAAGACTTGCTCATTTAAAAAAAGTTAATGGACATGTTATGCATCAAAAAAATAAATCAATAAATCAATAACAGTTGCAAACAATAAAGAATAAAGTGCAAATGTATTTAATAAATATCATTTAGCACCTTTTATTTTATATTTTATTCTGAGAATTTCATTTTGTGCTGTATATGTTTTAATCATCATACATATATTACATAAAATCCTTTACAGTACCTTTTATTTTAGATATATTTTTATTTTAGCACCTTTTATAAATAAATAAATAAAGTTGTAATTATTCAATTTCTAATAATTATTATAATTTGTTTTATGGAGTATTATAATCATTTCCAAATGTATTTTGACTCAAATGAACACATATATACAAACACATTGTTTTTTTGTTGTTGTTGTTTTTTTCATTTATTCATTCATAATTGTAATCATAATTGTACACTGCTACGTTTAAAAATAATTTGTTAAAAAAATAATGCTTTATCACCATACATTATATAAAAATCACTTACAGTACTTTTATTTTACAACACCTTTTATAAATAAATTAATAAATAACAGTTGTAATGATTCGATTGCAAGTAATTATTATTATTAGTGAGCATTTGTTTTATGAAGTATGTTAATCTTAGCCAATGTTTCAAAAACAATTTTTAACATTTATTTTTCACTGATAGCTATTTATATGATGGCCAAACCCACAGTACTGACAGCAACAGATTATTTGATGCAGCTCACCTCAGTTTCTCTGTAGCATCTGAGAAGCTTTCAGACACAAAATAGACGGGCTGGTAAGTCTGATCCTGGTACGGCTGAACAGCTACAGTGTCCGGGTTAAATTCCCGTCGCTCTGGCTCATCTGAGAGAGAATGCTGAGGAAATGGGTGACAGTAAATGTCAAATGCTTTTACCATAAAAAGCAGCAAAATAATTGATTTTAAAAATGACCGACTGCCACCCACCACCAGCTCGCCATAAGACGAGAGCAGTCCTGCTCCATATGCTTTGACCGTCCCTGCCTGCTTACACAGTCCAAACTCCACTGTGAACCAGTACAGCTGAAAACACACAGCAGGACAAATACATTCAGTGCTGTTACGAGAGCAGCGTTTGAGAAAGATGTGGGATGTTTCGTACTTACTGTTGACAGTTTCTCGATATCTTTATCAGAAGCTCCAAGAGAGGCCAGACCAATACTCTGACAGAACAGAATTCACAATACAGATTGAATTTGTAAGGAAATATGAGCTACGTAAATACAGTTGACATTTTTACCTGAGAAAACTGTGCAAATGTTCTGTCAGCCAATATCGGTACATGTCCAAGAAGTTCATGGACACAATCCCTGGAGCGGAAAACATTAAATTATTAGGATTATTTGTGACCGCTGTGCCATTGTTTTCATAAAGTGAACATTACTTTACTAAGCAGATAGCCAATGTCTGGACGTAAATCAAATGCATAATAAATAGTCTTCATAAACGTAAACAGTGTGACAGGAAGTGTCTTACGGCTCAGGCGAGTGCATGGGGGAGGAAGCGTGCCGTATGTATTGTGTGCACTGGAACACACGGAACGCCAGGCTGGCCAGAAAATCCCGAGCAGAGAGTAGACCTGCCACCGGACGCAGCTGAAACCCTGTGCGCTCTTCATACAGGACAGACAGAGAGAGAGAGAGACTCACCACCAGCATTCTGGGTGGTTGCCAGGGTGTTGCTATTCAGTTGCCAGAGTGATTACTATGGCGTTGCTATGCAGGTGTTCTTAGTGGTTACTATGGCAGTGCTATACTGTTCCTACAGTATTCTAGGTGGTTGCTAGGGTGTTGCTATGTGGTTGCTCAAATGTTCTAATTGATTTCTGTGACACTGCTATGCAGGTGTCCTGAGTGGTTACTATGGCAGTGCTATACCATTCCTACAGTGTTCTGGGAGGTTGCTAGGGTGTTCTAGGTGGTTCCTGGGTGTTCTGGCTGGTTGCCAAGGTGTTGCTATGTGGTTGCTCAGGTGTTCTAGGTGATTTCTGTGACACTGCTATGCAGGTGTCCTGAGTGGTTACTATGGCAGTGCTATACCATTCCTACAGTGTTCTGGGAGGTTGCTAGGGTGTTCTAGGTGGTTCCTGGGTGTTCTGGCTGGTTGCCAAGGTGTTGCTATGTGGTTGCTCAGGTGTTCTAGGTGATTTCTGTGACACTGCTATGCAGGTGTCCTGAGTGGTTACTATGGCAGTGCTATACCATTCCTACAGTGTTCTGGGAGGTTGCTAGGGTGTTCTAGGTGGTTCCTGGGTGTTCTGGCTGGTTGCCAAGGTGTTGCTATGTGGTTGCTCAGGTGTTCTAGGTGAAGATTTAAAAGAAACTACAAGAAATACATGCATATATTGTAGTAATGCCATCAGACAGAGAAAACTGTAATGATAGGATTTTTTATTTATTATTTTTTTTGCAATTGCACGCCTAATTTTCTGTTTATTGTATGTGAATGCGTATGGATATATATATTTGTGTATGCATGGATATGTAGATGTGTGCATATGTATATCTTTTATTATTATTTGTTGTAGTCTTATTGAATATGTTTTGAATGTCTGTTTTAATATTTGAGTATTTTGCATTCATGTTTTTTTTTTCTTGCAATTTTATCTTTCGATGTACTTTCTGCAGTAATTCAATCTCAGTATTGCTAAGCAGAAAAGTAAATAAACTTCCAACCTCAAACTAATATATAAAAATCTATTTATACATTTGATTTTCAAATAATTGAAATACACAAATAAATGTAAGAATACACGTATATATTGGTATATTATCATATAACATATTAATAAATATAAAATGAACAATTAATTAATAAATGTACTTTTTTTTGCATTTTGTTGTTACTTAAGAACATATATATCAAGAAAAATGTGTATTCTTCTTCATATTTAGATAAGTGCATAAATTAATAAATGCATTTTTTTTATTTTTGCATTTTGCTATGTTGCTCAAGAACATATGCAAAGAAAAACTATATTCTTCTACATATTCGGACTTCAGATTAGACATTATTGTTTAGAATTTAGACATTGTTTATATAAAAAAATATACCATTGTTTTTTTTTCTCTCTCTCTCTCTCTCTCAGGTATGCAGTACATTATAACTAATATTTTATATTTCGAAACAAAGACTAAGTAGTTGTCAAAAAAATAAAAACGTAGGGCTAATAATTTAAAAAGATCATAGTTTTGAAATAGTTCTAAAGGAACAGAATAACAACCCAAGGAGAATAATAAATAGCTGTTTTAATTTTTTTTTTGTTTTTTTTTACTTAAGTGATTCACATATGATTCTTATCTGAGCCCAGTAGATGCTTACTAATATAGAATTTCCAAGATCAGCCTTTTACGATTTTCTTCAGGATATCTTACCTCAAAAACCTTAAGAGTGCGGGACAGCGCTGGACTCTTTGAACTCCTCAGAGAGAAGAAGAGACTGAGCAAGGCTTTTCCATCGCTCTCCTCAAACACGATCTGCTCGCTGAGTCCCGCAGCCTCCGCCGCCGCGGCCGCCGCCTCGCGCTCCTTGCGCGCATCCTCGATCAAACTCTGTCGCCTTCCCACAAACTTCTGAGACTGTCAAAGAGAAGAGCGCGATTCATTTAAGACCACACATGTCTATCAATTTAAAAGATCCATCTAGACCAGAAATAATAATAATAACAGGCTATAGCCCTGCTTACCTTCTGGACATCTGATGGAGGTGATTTACATCTCCAAAATCGCATAAGAACTTCAATGCAGTCTATGTAAACCTGCCATATAGCTCAGACTTAATCAGTTGCTTATGAGCCGATGATACAGCCACATATCGACTGCTTTTCATAGCTTTTGATCACCGCGTAATGCTGTGCGTAAATCTCAATGGAGAGTCCATTTACGCACAGCAAAACAGTGATCTGTAGGAATGGACGTGCATCAAAAATGCTACACTATTTTCAATCATATCCGAAAAGTTCTTTCACAAAATTTTACTCAAATGTATGAATTTAATTGCACCATATAACATCAAACTAAGTGGCACCTGCAAACAAATGCGGAGCTAACTTCATGAATTCTACAGTTTTTGATTTCATTTTGCATTCATTGATTGATTGATCATGTATAATTCTATTTACGATGTGTATATGTCATTATTTGATATATACATTTTTAAATGTTAATTTGTAACAAGAAGAAATGGCACTTGGTTCGGTATCTTGTTTTCTTATGAAATAAAATGCATGCATTTTAGATGATGCAACATACTTAATTTTGGGATTACTGTATTTGCATACCTGAGTCATAATCAGTCCATTTATTTCCACGACGAAACTCCCATGAAGTTTAATGCTTAAAAGCATCTCCATTTTTTTTTATCATAAAATATTTCGAAATCGACAAGGAGGGGATGTCAAATTATTCTTTCTTTATTTGTATTCTTAATTCTAATGCTATTTAACATGAGTGAAGAATATAGTTGAAGACTCTTACCGTAATGGAATCGGAGCGCTCGAGTTCAGACGCAGCTCTCCGGATGCTCTTTGTGGAAGATGTGGAGCTGCTTGAATTCGGCATATCGGAACAGATGAAGGTCTTGTGCTCACTTGGGACTGCAGCTCACTTACTTCCATCTGCAGCTTTCTTTCCCCCTTATTTATAGAGATGCTTTCTCCTGACTGACGTCAAACTGACCTCCGTTATTGAACATCTTGAAGCTCCTCACATGCGTTCATAATTTGATTCTGACTTTGCTGCGTAACTGTCTGTTTACATTGCCAGCGCGTCTCACTAAATCATCGGCCAGTTATCAGTGTATGAATGAACAATCTGCACTGTAAAAAGTGCGGTAACAGCCATTTTTACCTGATTTGACTCATAAAGATTTGTTTTGTTGGTATAAATGAACCAACAATGAATGAGCAAACAATGAATGAAATGTATTTTGGTTCATTCGGTGATGAAGCCAGCATAAAACCAGTTCGTTTAGCATTTTTTTAGTGCGGTGGTTATATTAATAAAGTTTTACATATGAATAATATGTACAATTGTTTTATCATTGTTTTCATGTATGACTTCTATAAAAATTAATCAAATAATTCAACATTCGAAAATTCCAAATTTGGTATGACTTCCTATCAAATGAATTAAACAATATGTATCATTCATAATCAATATATGAAGGTCAGGAAATAGTTTCATAGTGTGTGTGTGTGTGTGTGTGTGTGTGTGTGTGTGTGTGTGCATGTTTATGTGGTTTATGAGGACACAGATGTGTATAATAACATGGGTATAGGTATTACAGCGAGAAGGTGATTTGTGAGGACATTTGTAATTCAAAAGGCTTATAAATAATTCAGAATGAGTTTTTTTGCAAATCTAAAAATGCAGAAAGTTTCCTGTAAGGGGTAGGTTTAGGGGTAGGGTTGGTGTAGGGCAATAGAAAATACTCATGATGTTTGATGGGTCATATGATGTTGCTAAAAAGAACAGTATTTTGTGTATTTGGTGTAATGAAATGTGTTTATGCGGTTTAAGGTTCAAAAAACACATTATTTTCCACATACTGTACATTATTGTTTCTCCTCTATGCCCCGCCTTTCTGAAACGCGTCGATTTTTACAAAGCTCATCGGTCTGAAAAAGCGAGGTGTGCTCTGATTAGCCAGAAACGAGAATAAAAGTTACGCCTTCTTTCTTTGCGTGAACATTAGGGCGGCGTTATGCAAATCTTCCCACATAGTGACGTAGACATGTGGGGGTGTGTTAGAACGAGCCGTTTTAGGTAGGCGTGGCTGACTCTTAACTTTTATAAAGAATATCTCTTTGGTTTTGAGACTTTAGTCTTTGCAACTTTACAGATCTTCTTTATGCACCAAGAGCTTGTAACCCTCCAAAGAGAAAGGAAAAAGTGAAATCGCATCATATGACCCCTTTAATAGTTGAAACAGTAGTATAAGCCGTTTTGGGAGAAAGGGAAAAAAAAGACGGGCTCGGGTCAAGCTCGGGCCGGTAATTCTGATAAGCTGTCGGACACGGGCCGGGTTAGGGCCTATATTTGAGGCCCGTGCAGGGCTCTACACCAAATCAGCATTATTAAAATGGTTCTTTTTTTCAATTTACAGTGTACAAAACAGCTGAAAATAAATTGCATTTACAAATTCATTGATATCTCCATGACAATTCATTTTACAAGAACCACTGTTTCACTTCCCTTTTTTAAACCTAGCCCATACAGGTCTAGTTACTCATCCATAGGTCTTAGATACGTGGCATTTAAAATTTTAATCTAAAGTGACTTAAATGCACCAGTTGCTATCAGCCTGGAGCAAGCTGTGGTCGAGGGCATGATGATGATGATAAAACAGGACTACTTTAGATTGAACCTCCCACCCTTTTTTTAACAGCCCAGACCCATTATCCAGTCACCCTGAGGGTCTAACATTTATGTTACATGACATGAACCAGATCTGCTTACTTTTAAATGTAATCTATTACCCTGCTGAATACAAATCAGTTTGCAACTTAGATAGTGGGTTGTATGGCACTAAAATGGTATACAATTCAGAAATATAAATTTCTTATCTAAATAAAAACAGCAGAAGAGCTCTCCTAATGCACCATAAAAGCATTCATGTGACGGACAAAATGTCTTCACTTCCAACAAAAGGAAGCAAAAGTCAACTGTGGAAAATTGAGTCACTTTATCAGGTTCACTGAAAATCCATTGTCATTTTCCTCAGCAAATGTAATTGCGATTAAAACCTGCTAGTTGTTTTCTGTCTTCTACCTGAGCATCATGTGTTCCCTCCAGCCGTGAACAGTTTGACGTGTAAATTGATTAAAGTCATGATGTGCAGAGCCCGGACGCTAAAAGGATTACCAGCAGTTTTGGCCTCACATGCAGCAACAGCTGGAAAAGCGCTTGAGTGCTGGGGGTTTGTGAGATGAAATGCTAAAGAGTACTTACGTACCCTCGGGGCATGCGCCGAAAAAGACTGTCCTTTACTGGGAGGGGCAGAGGACAGGAAACGATAACGCATGGTGACATTAAAAGAAAGCACACTGATTTTCTGCACTGTTCACAGTCAGTTTGAGGATTAAAGGCAGCTGAACTTGTGTTTCTCTGATCTCTAATGATCTCTCCATAAGAAGACAGTGGATGGTGATTTGGATAACAGGTCTAACAGGCATTTAAGTGTTTGGTGTTTTCGTACTGTGGCTTTAGAAAGTGTAAAAAAAGGTCACCTATGTTCATCAATGACTCATGAAAGTATAGTTTTTATAATGAACAACAACATTTAGTTCTGGTCCTCCAATCAGTTCCACCTGTTTGTGTTAAAGTCATGTCAGAAAGATCGTATGTAGGAGTTGAATGCACATGAACGACACTACACTGTAATAAATGACCGTGAATTTAACGGTAAAAGACTGTAAAAACGCTAAAAAAAAATAAGTCATTCTTGTCTACATCTGCTCCGGTGGTGAAACAACGACGGACTGATGACAGCTCACTCAGGGCGGAGCTAAGGTAAGACGCCAGTCCAGTCTGTGCTGAAACGCTACTGTCAATCAAACTATTGTGGGAGGGGCTTGTTTTTGTGACGTCACACAGACAGGCATCTGAGATCGGCTCGATTTGAGAAAGGGGTAAAGATTTAAAAAAAAAAAAAATACTGGGTGGATCTTTATCATTATAGGGTAGTTGTGTACACACACTGCCAACACACATTTCAAAACAACTTGTAAAAGTGCATGTAGCATCCGATGACTCCTTTAAACGGTAAGTTCCCCTACTATATACAGTGAAAAACTCTATTGGACATTGCATGTTATTTTACGGTAGTATACCGTTTTTGGAAGGGGAAAAAGAGCATATAATTTACATTGAATAACCGTAAATTGAAATTCCCAGAATACCCTGCGTTACATTTCAAATTTGATGTTTTTTTGTTTTTTTAAACTGTTTCTTCTTAGTTTTTTTCTTGTAAGTGTTGTACATTAGGGTTGTATGTTACATCTAATGTTAAATAATGTTTATTGCATTATTTCAATTTGATGTGCGTTACCATGATTCTATAGATCAGTGGTTCTCAAAGTGTGGTACTCAGGCTCCCTCTAGTGGTATGCAGAGGAATCACTAAATTAAATATAAATTAATGTTAAAACACAATACATTTTAATTTAATCTTTATTTGAGTGAATTTTTTTTATTTATTTTTTTCATTGAAGTACAGTGCAGTTTTTATTTAACTTGTTGGTACAATTTGGTACAAATTTTTTAATTTGTTATTTACCTGTTCGTAAGCACAGTGCAGTGTTAATGTTCAAACTGTGTATTTACAATGTTAAAGTGGCTGACAACAATAAATAGTCTTATTAGGAATAAAACTGCCTCGTTTTTTAACTGTGCAGAGCTGTAGCTGAATATTTAGGCTACTGTATTTTAATGTTGGTCATTATGGTGGTACTTGGAGTGCCAAATGTTTTCTGAAGTGTTAAAGTGCAGTGTTAATGTTCAAACTGTGTATTTACAATGTTAAAGTGGCTGACAACAATAAATAGTCTTATTAGGAATAAAACTGCCTCGTTTTTTAACTGTGCAGAGCTGTAGCTGAATATTTAGGCTACTGTATTTTAATGTTGGTCATTATGGTGGTACTTGGAGTGCCAAATGTTTTCTGAAGTGTTAATATTTAAAAACTGCTTGTGATGGGCTTTGGTTCATCATGTGACTTTCTCATCACCACCTGCTTTTGGTGGTTAACAGTGTATTACAAAGTTACAAAACAGATTTCAGTACTTCAATAGGTTGGTATATTAACATTATATCAGTTAATGAAATTACGGTATTTAAATGTAAAT